GCAAATTGTTGCGCAGTGAGTGGAGAAACCAGGGAAATCGTGTACCACCTACTCTGAGTATAACTATTAATATGGACTCATCAGAATAGAGATAAAGGAAACACTCAAATGAGAACAGGTTTGTTAGGTGACAGGATTATCATCGTTTTTCCTTTTTATAAAATGTGGTGAATATTGAATTTGGACTTTAAATTTTTTTTTTTGCATTTTTTAAATTTTATTATGTTGTTAATCACCATACATTACATCATTCGTTTTTGATGTAGTGTTCCATGATTCATTATTTGCGTATAACACCCAGTGCTCCATGCAGAATGTGCCCTCCTCAATACCCACCACCAGGCTAACCCATCCCCCCACCCCCCTCCCCTCTAGAACCCTCAGTTTGTTTTTCAGAGTCCATTGTCTCTCATGGTTCGTCTCCCCCTCTGATATCCCCCCCTTCATTTTTCCCTTCCTACTATCTTTTTTTTTTAACATATATTATTTGTTTCTGAGGTACAGGTCTGTGATTAGGACTTTAAATTTTTAAAAAAATACATGGTTAACATATCAGGTTTCCAGGACCCACTGATCTTCCTTTGGAACATGTAACTTGTAGAAAGCCATTATTTTTGCCAGGATGTGTAAAGGTAAGAAGGGCAGCCCACATAAGGACCAGTTACCCTGAGATAGGAAGGCTTGACAGCCTAGGATATGGAAGACAGTGAGACATACCGTGGAGGACTCCGGGGGGGGGGGGGGGGGATGGAGAAGATAATAGGTGGAGAGAAGGAGGAAATCCCCCCACAAGTGAAGCTGTCCACCATAGGAAGAAACTGCCCAGCCCCGAGTCCCCTGACCATGCAGATGTGGGAGAGGGAGGTACTGAGCTATGAGCCTCCTGCAGGAACTGGTGGGCTCAGGTGCTTCCAGATATCACTTCTTACCACTGCTGCAAGGCAGGTAAGCACACAGTCAATGGAGGATGGGAGCTTTGGACCCAGATCTCAAAACCCAGACTGCTACACCACAGCTTCCAATCCAGTTGGTGCTTCTTGGCCCCACAATGGGGTAGGATACACCTGAGGCAATCGGGGAGACCCTACCTCCAGCGCCTCTGAGGTCGGCTGCCTCCAGCCTTTTCAGTCACCCTAAAAAGCCCAACAGATATTGCCATTTTGCACCCTTGTCGTAAGGGGGAAAGGGTGACAGCGCCTCTCAGCACAGCCAGGAGGAAGAGACGGCTTCCTACAAAAGCTACTGGATTTTTTATCAGAAAGGAAGTTGACACTGTCCCTTCCAGTCTCTAACTCTGATTCTAAGAGATCCATCTGGTCCATTTTCCTCAGGAACAACAGCCAAATAAGAAAGAAAGAAAAAAGAAGACTGACCTAAACATGCCTGATAACAGTGAGGCAGGGAGACAGGCCAACCGACACGAAAACGTGGAGGGCTGGCGCTGAGGTGGTCAGAAGTACCTGGTCATATCCTGGCTCATGTTACAGCCAACTTTTGTTTACCAGGCTTACAGATTTCTCTTCCTGCCCTTCCCAGCTTCCTATTTTAATTTTCTTCTTTCTCTGCTCACCATTATCTCAGCTGACAATGAATACAGACCACTGAGAGGCAGTGAAAAAACTCAACTGAGTTACCTGCTAATGTCAGATTACCTGATCCATTGGGAAAGAGAGAATGACAAGTCCAGTAAGAATGGGGCCCCACCTCACTGTTCCTGATTTCATTATCTCAAGTCACTCCCCACCGCCCCAATCCTAACTGCAAATCCTAACTCAAGTCTGTGACTGATAGGAACGGGAGAGAATCAGCAACGATCCCTTCAGATACACATGGTCAGAAAGAAAATGCATAGTTCAAGCTTTGACCAAAATTCAGGTTACTTTCCCGCTAGTTCAGCCATGCACTTTCAGGAATTAACAACGAGAGGTTAAAGCAGGATTCGAAATGATTTAAACCTGATCCCTGCTCCAAAGACCATTATACAGCTGAGCAGGTGCCTCCATTCACACCTTCCACCTCTCCAGTTACATGGCAAAGGGCTCGTAACTCCCAGACACCAAACCAGGCAGCATTCACAGAGAGCCCACTGTGAATTGCTCTGGGCGAGCCCGGGGACAGGGGTGGTCCACGACATTGTCTGTGCCACAATGCAGTTATGGCTCGGTTGAGGCCGAAAGGCAAGACAACAACATCAAAGAAGAAAATAATCACACGGAGAAATGAGAAAGCACACAGTTAAACATGGGTAACAGTTCAAGGCAGTAATGTCAAAAAGGCCTGAGGAGCTGGACCCATCTGAGGAGGACAGCTGGGATCGGGGCAGGGACCTGAAGTCACTGAGGGAGAATCCTTTGCCCCAGAAAGGGAGCACACACGAAAGCTGGGGGGAGCTGGAGGTGCTCAACGGGAGGCTGTGAAGAAACCAGCAGGGCAAGAGTGGAGGATGGAAAGACACTGGGGAGGTGACTGACTTTAGATTTGGCTGACAGGTCAAAGGAGAGGAACACTTGGGTAATCACACGTATTGCACACCAGCACTGAAAGGCCACCAGAAATGGGGAAGGTCCACTTTCAGAGTAGACAACGACCAGCTAGATGAGATGTCTACACCACTGCAGATCCTTATGCCCATCTGGGGCAACACCACCCCGGTTTTAGGAGCCAGGAAGCTCCATTCCCCTATCAAGCCTTTCATTATGTTTCACAAGGGCTCAATGGTAGCCAAACACGAGAAAGAACCCAAATGTTCATCAATGGATGAATGGATAAACAAAATGTGGCCTAGCCATAAAAAGGAATGAAACGCTAACATATAACTATACGGATGAACCTCGAAGATATTATGCTAAGTGAAAGAAGGCAGTCATGATGACTGCTTATTGAATTATCCCACTTATATGAAATGTCAGAACACAGAGAAAGAAAGCAGATTAGTGGTTGCCAAGGGCCGGGGCGTGGGAGGAGGAGGAAGGGTGATGAAAACGTCCTACACTTAGTGGTGATGGTTGCCCAACTCAGTAAGGATGAATTTGATGGTATGGGATTTATATTTCAATAAAGCTGTTACTTTAAAAACTGGCTTGATGGGAGTCTTCTAAATACATGTGCTAATCCCCTATCTTTCTATACAGGTACAGTTGATTCAACTTAATCTTTATTAATAATTCAAGGTCATTATTTCAATGATCAATCAATGGGCACCATGTACTCTAATAAAAAGAAAACGCCCTCACCAAAGTGCTTCTTAGTATCCCTGTCTGATGCCCCTTTTTGGTTTCTGTCTCCTGTCTCAGGTGCTGTCAGGCTGTGAGCCAACCCCTGAGTGCGGTCGGGACGCCTCCTCCCCCTGCACCTTGGCCAAGCAAGTGCAGGCTGGTGCTTGTGTCAGTGCTCAGAACGGATCGTTTCAATCAGGCACCTGGGTGAGGCCCCCTCTGCTGAGACTGAGCAGGAAAAGGTGCCAAGATCATCTTGTTATCTTCATTCTCCTTTTGAAAGGGCGATGGACGTGATGAGCTTAATTTTTCCCTGGAAACAAGGTTTGTGTGAGAAAAGGAGGCGCATTTGAATCTTTTTAAATCCTGCCGCCACCTACTTATTAAAAATTGTTTATGCGGGGGGGCGCCTGGGTGGCTCAGATGGTCAAGCGTCTGCCTTTGTCTCAGGTCATAATCCCAGGGTCCTGAGATCGAGCCCCACGTCTGGCTTCTGGCTCAGCGTGGAGCCTGCTCCTCCCTCTCCCACTCCCCTCTGCTTGTGTTCCCTCTCTCGCTCTCTGTCTCGAGTGAATAAATAAAATCTTTAAAAAAAAATTGTTTATTGGGCACCTACTATGTACCGGGCACTGTTCAGGGTGGACGAGGCCAAACGGTGGTAGGTGTTATGGAGTAAGATAAAGCGGGAGAGGAAGAGAAAGAAGGCTGGGGGAGGGGCACTGCAGTTTTGAAAGAGGTGGTCAGGGAACTGAGGAGGCGACTATTAAACCAGAGCCAGTTCGGGCGAACAATGTTCTCAGTGAAGGGAACACAGAACAGAGGCCCTGAGACAAGAAAGTGCCAAGTGGGTTTGGGAACAAGGAGTATGGATCGAACAAAGTATGTGAGGGAGGCCTCATTATTACCTGAACGTCTCTTCATTACCAGAACATCACCATCTGGTACCTGTCATACAGCCCTACCGGGTGTGTTTAGCTGGACAGACAGGGGAATGTGACTTGAGGTGAAGCACCAGGGGGGAGCTCACGGTGGGTACGTGACTAAAATCTGCCTTCCGGAGGCAACACCAAGGAGACGTTTCAAATAGGCCCTGGGGGATAGCACTGTCCATCTCATTGGATGGTCCAGGAGAAGATGCAGAAGCGAGGAAGACTAAGAAACTGGTCTCTGCAAGGTGCCAGCAGGACTCAAGCAGTAACAAAGGATGTTTTAGAGCCGGAAGTGGGGTGGAGGGAGCTGGGGAAGGTTATTCCAATAGGACAAAAACAGCAGCTACTGAGTACCAGAGACACTCGACATGTGTCATCTCCATGCTTTACAATAATCTGGCAAAGGTGATGCACAGTCCCCTTCCTACAGATGACAAGATGGAGACTTGGCAAGGCCAAATGGCTTGGCCAAAGCTGCAAAGCCAGCAGACAGGAGAGCTCCACCACGGCCCAGGTCAGCCCCACTTCATGGGTCTTTCTAGGACTATCACATGGAACTGCTGTTCATCAACAATGTTTGAATGACAAGAATGGCTGTTTCTCACGGACCATATGGAGAGGCCTGGCACTCCCAACATTTACCCACAACAGAAGCTCTGAAGGTTCCTGACAGGGGCAGAACTTCTCATGAGTCCACTGTTGGGCCCAGTGAGTCAACAGCACACACCCCCAAGGTTTCCAAGCCCGGCTGTTGTCAGAATCACCCTAGGAATCCTTACAACAGATCCCCAGTCCTGGCCTATCTGGATCATAACAGCCAAGGGTGAGGTCCAGGAATCTGCATTTTAAAACAGAATCCCCCCGCCCACTGCACATCATTCCTACACAATCCTTCCCCAGAGTGTGAAAAACCACTGCCTTGCTATGTTTTCGGCAGGTGCAAATAAAAAATTTCAAGGAGTGCATTTTCCTAAGATGTTCCTAGGCAGGAAAAGTCAAGGGAATTCTGTCCACAGGCTGCCTGCCCATCCTCCTGCCGAGGCTCCACTCTGGGAGTGACTAAAGGGGAGAGAAGAGAGAGTCCTTTCACACCGACTGGTGCTGGCTTCCTGCGCAGGTGGGAAAAACTAATTTTCAAACTCCACTCTGGGTGAGTTTCCTGGGCCCTGTTTTTCTTTCCTGAGATGTTCAGTCCTAAGTTTGTATGAGAGAGAAGCTGCTCGAATTAGCAGAGAGGTTAAGAAGAATCAGAGAGGACTCTCGCCCTTTACAATAAGGGAAGTCTTTGAATAGCAGCAGGAAAGCAGGGGCAAAAGTGACCCAAAAAGGAGCTACTGAATATAACTGGAAATTCTGGCTTGTATCAGAGCAGGGTAATGGCAGCCGGGAACACCCTGTGATTTGGTGCTCTACACCATGAGCAGGGAGGGTTACTTGCTCCTTAAAATCGTTTTATCTCTATTTTCTCTACTGCTCAATTTTCTTTTGATGAAAACATAGGACATGCCCCCTCCTGCCCAAACTGACTTATTCCTATAGGCAGGGATTGCTCACTTTGTTGAAAATGCCAGGCTTGATGCTTCTGAAAATGAGGCCCACCTAAGAAATGCATGGTCTCTGCCCCGACCCTAAGACGGCACAGGAGAGGAGAGCCAGCTCATGTCTCCACACTGCAGGGAAAGCGGTCCAGAGCATCTCCACTTGCTGGGCTAAGGGAGCCCTCCCCGAGAGTTAGCTAACAGTTGGCCCTTAGGACCTCATCTTCCTCCCTCCGAGATACTTACCTTTCAAATAGACCTTGCCAGGCTCAAGTGTGCAGAAAGGTTTCAGCTACCTCAACTTTTTGTTTTTTAAAGACTTTATTTGTCAGAGAGCGAGAGAACTTGGAGAGAGAGCACAAGCAGGGGGAGTGGCAGAGAGAGGCAGAAGCGGGCTCCCCGGCTGAGCAAGGAGCCTGATGCTTAACCAACTGAGCCACCCAGGCATCCCTACCTCAATTTTTAATTACAAGAAAATATTGTTCTTTTTTCTCAATTCTGATCTTTCAGTTATCTCAAAGCGAGTTTAACTATCTCAGGCTCAAGTACAACCGAGCCATTCGCTAAAATATTCTGATTGCCAGCCCCTTGCATTCCAGCCTAACGACTACTAAACAGGGAGCCTGTAGTTACAGACCCCAGTCTGCTTTGGAAGAGCCTACAGAATAAGGACCCAGACCGGAGCCGTCTGGCACTTCATGATGGGAGTCGACTGCATCCCTCACTCAACAAGCACTGATGGAGAATGCACACTGGGTGTGCATTGGGTGCCCAGGGCAGACCAAAACTATCGCACGGGGGTCCTGTCCTCCCCTAGTCAGAGAGAAAGCCTAAGCACAAAAACAACCAGAGAACAACACAATAGGCTTTGTCTTGTTCATGCATCACATATAGATATATGGATAAAAACACAGAAGTCATAAGGCAATACAGTGACGTAACACAAAGCAAGTGTGTTGGACTATGAGGTACATGGGGGAAATGTGACAGCAGACTCCTCTGGAGCTCAGGTCATCAAAGCCAATATTGTTAGAAAAGGGACTGAATGTCATGGGATGGCATCTGGAAGGGAAGGAGAAGCACGTGAAGTGTGGGGAAGGGGTAGGGTTTGGGACTGGTCAGAAGTGAGGCTGATCCAACTGGGTGAGGTCAGACAGGAGAGACCTGGAGAATCAGTCAGGGAAGTTCAGACTCGGTGTGTGAAGCCGCTTTCCCAGAAATGAAGTCACAAAGTGACGGTGTCTTTAGAAGATGGAACTGATAGGAATGGGCAGGGTAAGGTGAGTGAAGGAAATGGAGGTGGGATGTTAGCTCAATTCGATTTCTGTCCTGGGATGGTGGCAACCTTGGCCTCCTGCCACAAGCTTAGTTTCAAGAAGCGTATCACAGGGGCACCTAGGTGGTGCAGTCGGTTAAGCGTCTGACTCTTGGTTTTGGTTCAGGTCATGATCTCAGGGTCATGGGATTGAGCCCCAAGTCGGGCTCCGTGCTCAGTAAAGAGTCTGCTTGAGATTCTCTCTCCTTTACCCTCTTCCCCTCCTGCTCGTGTGCACGCATGCTCACTCTCTCTTTCTAAAATAAATACATAATTTTTTTTAAAAGTATATTTACAAATGGGTTTGAGGCCTTCCTCTGATAACCTGCCTGGGCCAGGGTTGTTGCTCCTAAGTCTTGTCTACACCCAGACAGCCAGTGGATGGTGCTCATACTTGGCAGCACTCAGGCACCCCAATTCCCCGGCACCGGCCCCACATCTACTTGGGTTAACGAGCCCCTGCAGGGACTAGGGTGGGCCTACCTAATCAAACCATCCTTCCCCGTGCCCCTCTGTATCTCAGCCTAGCGTCCCCGCACTGGCTTATGGGGGCTGGTCATGTACCAGCTACTAGTTCTTACCACCTGGCAGCCCCACGTCGCTGGCTTCAGCCAAGAGAAAAGGGCAGTGGGGTGCGTGACTGCAGGTGTGGACCAGAGTGTTATCTCTGACTATAAAGGTTAAGTACTTAGCTGAAAACCTTAACCAAAGAAACAGGAAAGAGCCGCCAACAAAAAAATAAAAACAGATAATTGTGCACCAGCATCCCCAAATGGCTAAAACCATAAACCCAGATACAGTAAGCGCCGTTATCCTACGTGGTTAGAGAACGAAGTGTTCCATTTAATCAGATGTCCTGGTAAACGGAGAGGTGCCAAAGACACAATCAACACATGGATTTGGGAGAAAGTTACCACCATAGTTTTGAGGGTGCCCTGGAATTTCTTTTTTTTTTTTTTTTAAGATTTTATTTATTTATTTGACAGAGAGAGACACAGCGAGAGAGGGAACACAAGCAGGGGGAGTGGGAGAGGGAGAAGCAGGCTCCCCGCAGAGCAGGGAGCCCAATGCGGGACTCGATCCCAGGACCCTGGGATCATGACCCGAGCCGAAGGCAGTCGCTCAACCAACTGAGCCACCCAGGCGCCCTGCCCTGGAATTTCTAAATGGTACCTACCATTATACCATTACCTACCATGGTAATCAGACCTCAGATGAGCAAGGCCGTGGAGCAACTATGATTCCTATCTTGCATCTGGAAGCCAGGCCCAGCAGCACAGTCAACTCAGGGATGCAGGGAAGGACAAGCAAGGCCCCCGGGGACCTCCATGCCCACCAAAAGATGACCTTTCCTTACATCCCCCACCAGGTCTGCCCAGGCCTGGCCAGGGCGTCTCCTTATTCCCTAACTGTCCTCTCACCCCTGTGAGGCTCTGGACCCCCAAGAGTTGGACGCTGCCCTTGTTCCCCAACTCTGTCTTGCTTTACTCCTGCTCTCCAGCTCAGAGAAACACCCTGATCCCAAACCCCGGACGCAGAATGCCGTGCCTATGGATCACAAGCACCACCGCCACCCAAGACTGCCACTGCATGGGGTCCAGGTCTAGATCGGACCTTGGAGATGCACACACAAGGGGTCCAAATGCTCACAGGCCTGCAGACACATCAAATTAATACCTCCAGCCTCGAGGCAGATGGGCAGTGCTTTGATTAACAAAACTGGTAATAACTCACTACACTATGTGCCTCACAACTAAGTTTATAAATATGTTCTGTAAACGGTTTTGTACTGTGATTGTGGGGGTGGTTACACAAACCCATGCATGGGATAAAACAGCAAGAACTAGGGCGCCTGGGTGGCTCAGTTGGTTAAGCGACTGCCTTCGGCTCAGGTCATGATCCTGGAGTCCCGGGATCGAGTCCGGCATCGGGCTCCCTGCTCGGCAGAGTCTGCTTCTCCCTCCAACCCTCCCCCCTCTCATGTGCTTTCTCTCTCTCATTCTCTCTTTCTCAAATAAATAAATAAAATCTTAAAAAAAAAAAAAAAAAAACAGCAAGAACTGTACAAACAACACACATAAGTGAAGGCATGAGAAAACGGCGAGAACTGATTAAGGCCTGTAAACCAGTTAGCGGTCACAGTAACATACCATTGTCAATGACCTGATTTTGATCTTGAGCTATAGAAAATGTCTCCACTGGCGGAAACTTGGGGGGAGAGATCCCAGTACTCTTATGTACTATTTTTACAACTACCTGTGAGTCTAATTATTTCAAAAGGAAAGTAAAAAACAAAACCCCACAGAAACCCCCATAAACCTAATCATCTACAATCAAATCATTTCACAGCCACCAGGACCTGGGAGCTGGCACCCTCAACATCTTCCCAGGCCACCTGGAACTGGTTCTGTGAGCCCAGCTTTCAGGTCCAACACGGGCAGCTCAAGCACTGGTGTGAGGCTTGCACATTTCCAGAGTGACCAAGAAGAGCACGTCCCAGTGCACTGGGCTCTGGGAGGAGTAGGTGGTTATTTTGCCAAAAGTCCCTCTCAGCCCCACTCACAGGAGACTTACTGGCAGAGACAGAGAACAGCTTTCCCAAGCAGGACCCAACAGCACTGGAGGGCATATTTAAAGCTGGGCTTGTTCTAAAATGTTTCCCTAATCCTTGTCATCTTTAAAAAGAAGACAAATCCAAGTCCATGTGAGTGCACATGCACACAGGGCTTAGCTCCAAGGAGCCAAAAATAAAGGATATAAACATCAACTAAATCAGTGATTGTCAAGACTGCGATCTAGAATTATCTCCATTGATAGGATTTACCCACCGAATGGGGACAGGAAGTGGTTATTACAAACACAAACCAAGGCTTCTTAACCTCTTTAATGCCACAGACATCCCCCCCACCACCACCCCCTTGGCAGCCTGGGGAAGCCTGCAGACCTTCCACAGAATGGCGTTAAATGCACAAATTAAATCCATAGCATTCCAAAGGAAGCCAATTATGGTAAATTGCAGTTATCAAAATATTTAAAAAATTTTTGCTGTGGTAATATTTAATTAACATATTAAATAAGACCTAGCCGTGAGTCTCATAACCACCTCAATTCTGAAGCAGTGACGAGGCTAACGAAACTTAGAGAAATATCGACAATGACTCCAACAGATTGGAAAAAAATCCCCGCAGTTCCTACTGGTGGTGGTCACAGGTACGGCTAATGTCACTATGGTTTCTTGTCTCCATTCATAATTGAAGGAAATGCAATTTTTCAGCTGGTGAGAATGAAGTGTGATTTTTCTCCATCCAAGTGTTTGGAGCCTGCCTGAATTCTGTCTGTGGAAGAACGGCCTCTAGAGTAAGCAGCTGACAAAGAACTTCCACGGGAATGAAACACTGCCTCTTCTTCACACCCTTGTCACGACTCCCTAACCTGGTTACCAATGATAATGTCTGCACCTTCCAAAGAACCACCATCGCCCAACATGGGCCCTCTCCTCCAGAGCCTAAATGCATCCACTTGGGCGCCTGGGTGGCTCAGTCGGTTGAGCGTCTGCCTTTGGCTGAGGTCATGATCCCAGGGTCCTGGGGTCGAGTCCCGCATCTGGCTCCCTGCTCAGCGGGGAGTCTGCTTCTCCCTCTGCCTGCCGCTCCCCCTGCTTGTGCTCTCTCTGTGTGTGTCAAATAAATAAATAAAATCTTTAAAATAAAATAAAATAAATAAATGCATCCACTCAAACCAAGGGGGAACATCAGCATGTGACTTGCCTTTATCTGGGGCCGGGGAGGCCCGCCCCTCATAGCTCACCTCTCCTTTCAGGCCCTCAGCAGCTCCTGCCACTGTGAGGAAATTAGAGGAATTCTACCCATCGCTGGGGGAGCCTGAACGTAAACCATCATCCTCCAAGTGTACCCAGGACCAGGAGAACAGAAGTCAGTTTGTCAGGAAATTAGTGCTGAATGCTGATAATCAACCAGCCCCGGAGCTCTGCGCTCTGAGCAATGTAAGGGTGTAAAGAAAAATACGCGGGTCTACCCATTAAAAGCTGTAGTTAAGGGAGAAAGCTTAGATGATAATAGTTACAGGCTGAATTGTACAGGTCTCCAAAAAGATATGCCGAAGTCCTCACCCCACCCCGCCCAGTACCTCAGAATGGAACCTTAGATGGGTCTTCACTGAGGGAATCAAGTTAAAATGAAGTCAGTAGGGTGGGCCCCAATCCAATAGGACCGGTGTCCTTACAAAAGGGAGAAATTTGGACAGACACACACAGAGAGAAGACAATGTGAAGAGACACAGAAGAGAAGACAGCCATCTGAGAGCCAAGGAGAGAGGCCGGAGCAGAGCCTCCCCTCACAGCCCCCAGAGGGAACCGACCCTCTGACACCTTGATTTCAGACTCCCAGGCTCCAGAACTGGGAGGGAGCACATTTCTGTTGGGTCAGCCACCCACTCTGGGGTCCTGTGTTATGGCAGCCCTAGCGAACTAATACAATATATGAAGTCAAATATATGGCCTGGGAAAAGGAGATCTTAATTCAGAGCCCATCAAACCACGTCTCCTTCTGGTTCCACTCATCGGTTTAAAATTAGATTCTATTCAGAGTCTGCTTCTGGTCTCTGGGAAGGAGGGATGGTCCAAGGCCCAGTCTTTTGGAGGCTAAGACTGGAGGATGGAAGGGGCTTAGGGAATCCAGGAGTGCACTGTTGGTGACTCTCTCACCAGCCCCGGACTTACTGGGGGGCTACCCCCTCAGCAGGCAGGGATCTTTGTAATCCTTTCATTCAAATATCCTGTGAGGAGTTTTGGCCTAGGGCAGTGGTTTACAAACTTGGCTGCATAGTAGAAGCCCCTGGGGAGCTTTTAAGAAAATTCCACGCAAGCTTGAGCCCCACCCCAGACCAACTGAATCAAAATCTCAGGGGGTGGGGGCTGGGCATGAACATTTTTTAAAAGCTCCCCAGATGATTCTAATGTGCAGCCAGGGTTGAGAGCCACTGGACCCTATGACCTTTGAGGGCCTTTCCTTCTCAGAATTCGGCGAGAGTGCATTTTGTGTTTATCTTAGTGGTTCTCAGGAGCGTGCTGGGGCTGGCCTCGGGTCTGGTTTCTTACAGGTCCAGTCTATGGCGGCCTTTATTGGGTATGAGTGGAGGAGTAATTCTGATAAACAGGGGGGGTGGTGGCAGAGAGGGAAGGGAGTTAAAAATGCCTTTCATTAAAACATCAATTTAATAAGATTTGGTTAGGAAGTTCCTACACGCCAGGAACTCAAAAAAGGATCCAGAAACAAGCTGACAGCTATTGAAGTGAGGAGTGCCACAAGTGAGGAGGGCAAGCCACCCCCACGGAAACAGAAAGTGCCCCCAGAGATCATCTTAAAGGAGAAACCAGAATGTCTTCTGTGAGAACAGAAGAGCACGGGGAGGCTTGGTCCATGAACTGAGATGATTTTAGTTTAGTTAGATGCAGAGGAGACAAAGCCGTGCAGAGACCAAGCACACATGAATAGCACTGGTTTGGGAATCCGGTAGGTAACAAGGGGTAGCCCGGCTGAGGTAAGGCAGGGCCCGACTTTGTTGCTCTCCGACTTTCCTGCTGGGGCTGCCTTCCGTCTGTAGCCACAGAGCAGCCTGCAGACCCTACCACTGCCCGAGGCAGGGGGGTCTCAACCCAGCTATGCACCACCGTTTAAAGGGGAGCTTTTAATAAATACAAGTGCCAGGGTCCCAAGATCTAGAGATTCTGGGCACATGGGTCAGGCATGTGTCCTTTCAAAAAAAGGGGGGGGAGGGGGCCTCCAGGGAGTTCTGATGGGCCAGTAATTCTCAACCTTTGGGGCTATCTCAAAGCTGTGATCTCCAAACTTCTGTTTCTGAGGGCAGTCCGCCAGGACTATGGCCCACCACTGGCTTGCCTTGTGGGGCCTACCTGTGAGACCCTCGGCCTCTGGCTCCCACCTAGGACTGCTCACCTGACTCCCAGCCCAGGCTCGGCCTGGCCACCGGGAGCTTGAGTTCCTATAAGGATGCAGCCAGGCCCAGCTCTGGCTCCTCTCAGGCCAGGGTCTAGACACCAACCTGGCTAAGGAGCCGCCAGTCTTGGGCCCACAGTGTGGAAAATCGTTCTCACCCTTGCACAGAGACACAATATGTTCAAGAGCACAAACAGGGGCTTCCTGTTATGGCCTGAGTGCTTCACATGTTAACCGGGCTCCCCAGGCTGAAGACCACCACCACAGGGGACCAGCCTCAGCACACACAAGTCATTCCCTTCCTCTGACGGGAGCCATCTGCGGCCAGGAGGTGGGAAGGGCAAGCCCCCGGGGCCCGAGGGAGGGCCTGGAGCTCAGGGGACTCACCCCCCCAGGGGCACCTCCCCTCGCTTACAGCTCAGCTTCTCCCCATGTCTGTGCCCCTCCCACAAGGGCCAATCAAATTCTGGCACCAAAACCCAAACATCCAAATCCCATTTTACAGACTTTATGCATGCTAAAAAATACCCTGAGTTCATTCAAGCCTCCCAAGTATCTAAGAATCTGAAATTTCACCAGGATATTGGGCACCTGCAACGTAGCCGGGACACTGACGTCAACACCTGATTTAATGGGAAAAGTCTCTCATGGGGTGAAGCTGTTACAGCGCTCCGGGGGCGCTTGGGCAGGCTGAGGAAGTAGATTTTTTGTGAGCCAAGTGGATGGCAAAGTCTTTGCTAGAAGGACACTGGCATATTCCCCAAAGCTAGCCCAGCAGGGGCATTCACGGCTGTGCGCTGATGGATCACATGTCTGGTCCTAAGTCTTCCATACCTGCAACGAGAGGCCAGACAGACCTGGACAACCACCCCTGTCCTACACCGATTCAACAGCAATGAGCTGTGGGTTCTCGATGCTGTTTGTAAATGATCCTCAGGAACAAAATTAAGCCTCTTAACTTTCTTAAGATGTACCAAGACTTCAAAAATAAAAGATGGGCTCAAATCCACTGTTAAGAGTTTCCTGTGTTCGTTTTTTCAAACTCCTCTTTCTTCCTTGGGCAGTCTCTAGCTTAGGGTTGTTATTATTGACAGCATTCCTTTAACACTTTGAATGCATCTGTGTCTTCTTATCACACACAGTTTTGAAGCACTGGGCTAAGAGAAGTGTTTACCGTAAGCCGGAACACAGGGATGGAACAGATAAAAATGTCATGCGGCAGACACGGCTGAGGCAGGTGGGGAGGAGGCAGGATGGGTTAACGCTGGCTTGTCCATACTGGAGGAGCGCTGGTAGGTGGCAGAGTCAGTGCAGTCAGAATAAAGGGCAAAGAAAGGTGGGAGGCTTTCCAGAGAGCGGACTTGATTTTCATGTTTTTCTCTTACACCGGTAGGCAGTGAAATTCCTAGTAAGATGCACATAATGTGGCCAACAAATCTTTGGGAAGAGTGTTAGAAACAGAGCAGTGGTTGCCAGGGCAAAGAGGGATGGGAGGGTAAACCACAAAAGGGTAGCCTGAGCAGTTTTTAGGGACCTGCAACTGCAGCGGTGGCTGCATGAGTCTATATGCGTTACAGGGCATGAAACTGGGGGCGCCTGGGTGGCTCAGTCATTAAGTGTCTGCCTTCAGCTCAGGTCATGATCCCAGGGTCCTGGGATCGAGCCCTGCATCGGGCTCCCTGCTCCGCGGGAAGCCTGCTTCTCCCTCTCCCACTCCCCCTGCTTGTGTTCCCTTTCTCGCTGTGTCTGTCAAATAAATAAATAAAATCTTAAAAAAAAAAAAAAAGAAGGCCTAAATATGAGCTTTAATTTCTCCCGGGCTTTTCCCATCTCTGATGTCAAAAGGCCTACACACAACCCAGCCAGACGGAGGTGCCTGGCTGGCTCAGTCAGAAGAGTGTGCGACTCTTGAACTCTCGTGGGTTCAAGCCCCGCACTGGGTGTAGTGATATATATTTTATAAAAGAAAAAAAAGAAACCAGTCAGAGTTCAGGCAGTGCTATGGAAAACAGAAGGAATGCGTGAGCCTCCCTTCGTACGGAACGGGTCTTCCAGAGTGCAGGCAGCCAGCTATGCCCTTCTTGTCTCCGGCTCCTTCTGGAGAGGACATCACTAACCCAAATGCAAGGAGTGAAGAAAAGCCAAGCGGGGCAGGCCCGGGACCAAGGCTGCAGTTGAGCCTCACAAGGGGCAAAGCACATCTCTTTGGACCACGAAAGGGGCTCAAGCCAGGTTCCCGGAGGTTGGCGGGTGGTCCAGGGCACTGAGGGAGTCCAGGAGGCTCCAGGAGGAGGACAGCAGGCTCCAGGGCCGCCCAGAAGCCACAGGCAGGACAACAAGCCTCGGAGAAGCTGCAGAGGCTGCAGAAACCCCAGGAAGAGTTTCCTGTCTCGAGCGCCAGTCTCTCTCATTCCAGGAATCCCCTTTTCCTGAAGCTCGCTTGCTGTTATTTATTTATACAAGGCTGAACCCCACCTTCCCGAGCTCTGCAAAGCGCTCCTCACCACAAAGCCCGATTGTGCTTCCACATCCTCACAGCCAAGGCGGAGACAGAAACTGGCCTGAGGGAAGACGGTCTATACCAGGGAGGGAAATGTAGTCTGATTTAAAGGCGCGGGTCTCCAATAACAGAGAGCTTTGTTGGGACGGAGAACACCCTAACAGACAGCGCGGCGTGCCGGGGGTTCCGGCCTATCTTGGTGCCAGGGGGCCCTTCAGCAGGTGAGTTGAGGCTGTTTGGTTTTGGACCATCTCCAAAGAAGCAGGCCTCACCACAGGGCTGGCTGAGAGATAAATTAGCATGCTCTTCTGCTCAATTATCCACTTACAGAGAGGCATAGCAACATTTTATTAAAGCACAACACACAGATGAAAGATACATCAATAAGAGAAACCCTGAAATTTTTTTTTTCCAAAAGGAGATGGGAAAACTACCATCCCCCAGAACTATCCTGGCCCAAACAACAGTGATTTTGGCAATTCAAAACTCAATGGTTTTTCTTAGGGCTCACAAGGTGGGTTTTCTCTCTGCCGCCAAACCTCTCTCAGTAAAAGGTTTGGTCAGAAATTATTTTTAAACAGGCTCATACCTCCTCACAACAAAATACATCTATAAAGTGCTAAAAGAGCCCGGCTTCACATGGAGTCTGGACACCAAACCCAAAAGCATAGAGGGGGTCCCAGAGGAGAGCGGCTGGCCTAGGTCCAAAGCACCCACGGCAGAGGGGACACAGGAGGAAACGGAAGTCTGTCCACTGGTCAGTTCCTCGTGTGGCGTCCCCCAGCTGCTGCCCCGTCTCCCGCCTGCACTACCAGTGGGTTCAGAGCACCTCACTCACACCGGCGAGTATCTACAGCTGACCTCCCTAGGAGGCTGGCTCTGTACCTTCCTTCCTCCCCACAGGATGTTTGCTTTCCTCTTGGTCCTCCATGCAACGTTCTGACAGGAGGTCCCCAGCCTCTCTCGTCCCAGAAGGCACCTCTAAAACCATGCTCCTGTCTACGCAAATGATGAGTAATTACCACTAATTGCCCCTCACGTCCTACTAACCCCAGGACGTCCCCTGAGCAGGGAAGGTGGGAGAAAGGAGCGGAAGGCGGGGAAAGCCAGTCAGGGTCTCTCCCATTCCGCCCCTTTCAGCCCCCCAAACCCTCCCCATGCCCCCGGGCGGTGCAGGCGTTCCTGCTCTCCAGCCAGAGGCCTTAGCACTGCTCAGGGTTCTGTTCTACAGCTCAAGCCTTCTTAGAGACAAAGCTCTGGCACCGTTGACCATTTCCAAACCACAGCTTTAGAATGCAACTCCTGGAAGGAACTCCCTGGGTCACCCAGTCTTCACTGCTCAGGTCACGTCCCTCAAGCTCACGCACGCCATCCGTGTGGCCCAGTGGGAGGTGGCCACTTAACAGGAGCGGGACAAATCTGGGTTCTCTGCCAGTCCCTGCCCCTTGGAATGCTAGGTACCCTCAGACAAGTCTGGTTTCCTCTAGAATGAAGCAGGAAAAACCACAGTACCCACAGGGTCATTCTTAGGATTAAATGAGTGAATGTATGCAATACTTCTCTGGGACACAGAGAACACTCAAAGAATAAAACTGTTATCACTGCACAAAGCTCTATTCAGACAGAAGAGGGACTCAAGGACCAGTCCTTCTATGTTTCTCAGTAGGCTCCATGAAATCAGCAACTCTCTCCACCCCTCTGGGCTCGGTTTCTTTCGACCGTCACTAAAATCCAACTCTCATCTCCGAGGTCCCTTTTTAAAACACACACACAGACACATTCACACAGTTTATTTCACGTGTGTACATAACATGTGTCTGTACACCGGGGTTTTCAACTGCAGCACAATGGATATTGGAGCAACCTAATCTTTTGTTGTGAGGAACCATCCATCCTATACATTTTAAGGTGTTTATCAGCACCCCTGGCCTCTACCCACTAGATGGTAATAGTTCTCTCCCCAATCATAACAAAAATGTCTCCAAACCTTGCCAATGTCCCCTGGGGGGCAAAATGGCCCCAGTTGAGAACTAGTCATGTACACACAAACACACGCATGCACACATGCACACACATGGAATAATAGGATGCCCACTCTGAGAGTGAAGAGCTAAGCAGAGTGAGAACAGAGGAGAACCCTCTCTCCAGGTACAGAGTCCTTGCAATGTGCTCAAGGCAACTTTACGGGGACCGAGGCCACAAACATACACAGTACTCTGGAGCGTCTTTACATCTGTGAAACAGTTACTGTGCTCATAAAGACTGCCTGCAGACTTAATTTGGCTTGCACATACAGAGTCCTATTTACTGCGAAAACTTGCCAGGCCAAGCTCCCCAGGTCTAGTCCAAAGTGTACTCAGGAACTCGGCCTGGGCGAGCAGAACACAGGGGGTTCTGTGTGCTGCCTCCCTGCACACTCACCTTGAGATACTTGAGGAAAAGGAAGCCGCCTTGGGGCAGCGGGCAGCTGTGGGTTATTCTTAAGGAAGAGGGCAGCTTGCCACATGTGTGCTTCCCTCGGACTTGATGTGTTACCAGATTTGATGAAACTTCTATTTTCCCAGTTCAGAAGAGCTAGGGGCTTGGTAGACAAGGCTTGTGTATCTATGGACACGAGACCATGTGTACACACCTACCCGTAAAAATGAACAGTAGTCACAAATATGGAAGACAGAGGTTAAGTGGAGGAGGGGAGGCAAACGTCTGCCTTAAGGAGAGGTCTGTTTACCCCCATGTGTTTAAAAATGAGAATCCTGAACTCCCTCTCTACCTTATTATGACTTATTTAACATTTGTTTTTAATTTGCCCAAGATCATAATCTTCACCAAGGACCACGTATAAGCCAAACTTGAACTTGAAAACCAAGCTGGACCTTTGTTCTGCCTGCATGAATTAGTGTACAGAGGGGCATCTGATTTCTCCCTCCCCTAACAATCTGGAACACTAGTCCCTATGTATGTCACTAATGCTGGGAGAATGGGCCCTAAGACAGGCCTCAGGAAACGAAGGCTCTAATCCTGGCCGATTCACTTGTGTGCCATGGAGACAAGTTATTTCAAGTGCTGAGCCTCCTCTTTAAGTACACTGATGGTTCCCTGCTAGCTGATGCATGGAGTAAATTAAGTAGAACTAGGAAGAGCTAGAGAATCCTAGTTACTCACACTGACAAGGAAGTGCCATGAGTAGAATGGTAGCCCAGACCCATCCACTGTTCCCAAAGTGGGTTTTGGGGAACACCAGTCCCATGAGATGCCATTTGGAAATAAAGCATTCTGTGGTTCCTTCATTCATCCAACAAATACTTATTGAGGGCCTTCTAGATGCCTGGTGCTATAAAGACAATAGAGAGCAAAAGAGACCCACTCCCTGACTTCTTCACTAAGTTTAGGATCCACAGACAAGTGTCCAGAGACTAGGCCACCTCTTTCCCAACAGTAAAGGGAGTTCACATACAGGGAGCAAGGAACCACATCTGAGGCTGGGAGGCAGAGAGCAGGAGGGGACACGCATGCTGGGGGTGGGGGGAGGGTTAGGGGGTAGTATTCCAAACACAGGGTTGGAGGAATACTGCACAATGCACTCCCTTGTAAGAGATTCATGGTACACATTGGCGTGTTAACAGCCCCAGAAGTTCTGTCCTACCTATTAACATCCCAAGGATGTTACTCTGGGAAACGCTGAGTGGCATTATTGTTCTCGTAGCCTACAAGAACCTTCCGTATGAAACAAAAGCTCTTGTTCATATAACTGGAAAACTACGTGTCCTCTCAGAACAGCCAAAATACCTTGGGGTTGCTAATGTAATTCTAAAGTATTTTCTTTGGCACAGACCTATAAAAACATATGGCTTCCACAACTGCTGACGTACTCCCAGTATCACAGATGAAGGAAAACCCACAGCTACAAACCAGTGGGCCAGAATCAAAGGTCTACCTCCAGCACAGACATCTGCTTTATTTGTTAAAAGATGCATGTAGACCTAGGGGCTCAGTTGGTTAAGCGTCTGACTCTTGATCTCGGCTCAGGTCATGATCTCAGGGCTGTGAGATGGAGCCCCGCATTGGCCTCGGTGCTGGGTGTGGAACCTGCTTAAGATTCTCTCTCTTCTCTCTCCCTTCGCCCCTCCCCACCCCAAAAAAGATGTATGCACAGCCTCAATACTGAGATAAATTGAGAAAACCTTCAAAAAAGTAAAATAAAAATGATCAACCACCAATGATCAAGTTATCAAAGATTATACCCTGAAAGATACCAGAAGTGAACAATGATCGCCCTTGTTAGCCTACAACGTCCATGAGGAAGACGAATTTTGCTGTTTCTTTTCTTTTAAAGATTTTATTTATTTATTCATGAGAGACAGAGACAGAGAGAGAGAGAGAGAGAGGCAGAGGGAGAAGCAGGCTCCCAAGGAGCAGGGAGCCTGATGTCGGACTCGATCCCAGGACCCTGGGATCATGACCTGAGCCGAAGGCAGACACTTAACCATCTGAGCCACCCAGGCGCCCGCTGTTTATTTTCTTATATATGATGCATAAAGAAGGAAATATAAATAAATAACAAATACACATGTGCAGATTTTGTGTATAAAGTACTGTGCTAGGGGTGACAGTGATCAAAAGGGACAGTTGACAGCCAGGGTCCTTAAGAACATGGATTCTAGAAAAGTAGCAATCCAAAACTGAGTGAGTATCATTAAGTGCCCAGGGAATGGTACAGTATAAAGACTAAATTTTACAGGGGCTAGGGAGGACCGGAAAACCCAGGACTGCTGATGCTGATAATGAGTTTACCTTAACAAAGCCCTTACTGTACCAGACAATGTTCTTCATGCTTGTGTACAACCTTATTTCATCTTTGCAACTATGAGGTAGGTCCTAGGAATATATCAGAATATGGCCTTGGCCTCAGCATTCAATCGACATCTGTTATTCAGCTTCAGCTTCAATCTTCAGGCCTGAATTTCTGCCTGGTCAATAATCATGTGGTCACAGGGGTGACCAACATATTTAATTAATGTAACAATGTGAGAAATAAGGAAATGAAGCATGTTTGAATTCATCATCATTATCTGAACATGCCGCTTCAGAAACAGGGAAGCATTCTTTTTTTTTTCTTTAAAGATTTTATTTATTTGTCAGAGAGAGAGAGCAAGAGAGCGCAAGAGCATAAGCAGGGGGTGTGGCAGGCAGAGGGAGAAGCAGGCTCCCCGCTGAGCAAGGAACCAATGCGGAACTTGATCCCAAGACCCTGGGATCATGACCTGAGCCAAAGGTAGATGCTTAACCGACTGAGCCACCCAGATGTCCCCAGGGAAACATTCTACATGTAAAGTTTAATGGAAATATCCTTGTGAGCTTTATCTCTAGAAATGTTATCAGTGGCAGAAGTATGTTATTTTTTTTTGGAAGAATACAATATAAGCATGAAACATTAATCTTACATAGAAAACAATTACAATGTACAACTACAGTTCTTAAATAGGATTAGTTAACTGCATTACTAATATTAAGAGTACATTTAAAAAGAACAGCATATACTTTTTTTTTTTAAGATTTTATTTATTTATTTGAGAGAGAGAATGAGAGAGAGAGAGAGAGAGAGAGCACATGAGAGGGGGGAGGATCAGAGGGAGAAGCAGACTCCCTGCTGAGCAGGGAGCCCGATGTGGGACTCAATCCTGGGACTCCAGGATCATGACCTGAGCCGAAGGCAGTCGCTCAACCAACTGAGCCACCCAGGCGCCCAATAGCATATACTTTTTGAGCAAGTGTTTCTCAATATTTTTAAGTTGTAATAGGCATACTATATTCTACTTCTAAACTCTATATGATTGCGTGGTGTGCTCATAACATTAAATGGAATAACCTTTAGAAACTATATATGCACCCTTAGCAGACTATGGTCTCTAAATAACATATTTCACTAAAAGGAATCAGAGCTCCTTCTAGAAATAGCTGATCTGGAAGGGGGAAAAGCACAAGATGAGTCTGGAATGTCCTCCCATAACAGTAAGCAAGGAAGCATCAAAGACCACTGGGATTGTGTCAAAAGGACTCAGGAGCCAATGGGAAGAGGCTTCCACCAGCTAAAGATGAAACAATTGGAGTATCAATAAGAATAATACTCACAAATGGATTGAAACACAGGAAATAGGTTGAAATCCCTGAGTTCATATTTTAAAACATAATTTCATTGGTCACCTTTGCAGGTTATAAGAAACCAAACGGAAAACTAGTAAATAAAGGGAAAGAATCAAGCATTTAAATTGCTTTCCCCATATGATCTACAGGGGTCAGCACACCTTTTTTGTACTGGGCCATATCTTTTCAGTTCTGTGGGCCAAATATAGACTCAATGGCACCTACTCACCTCAGCCCTTGTATTGCAAAAGCGTCCAGAGGCAATATGCAAACGAATGAGCCTGGCTGTGTTCTAATGAAACTTTATAAAAATAAGTAGCAGGGGTGCCTGGATGGCTCAGTTGGTTAAGCGACTGCCTTCGGCTCAGGTCATGATCCTGGAGTCCCGGGATCGAGTCCTGCATCGGGCTCCCTGCTCGGCAGGGAGTCTGCTTCTCCCTCTGACCCTCCCCCCTCTCATGTGCTCTCTCTCAATCTCTCTCTCTCAAATAAATAAATAAAATCTTAAAAATAAATAAATAAATGTATCTTTAAAAAAAAACAGTATAGCTGATAGATGAAGAAGGCATGACACAAATAGACTATCACCATTTTGAAACTGCTAATGAAGTAATGGATGTGAGTGATGATCATTGGTGGCTGCTAATTTCACAGACAACCAGACCTTAAGTGTTTCATAATATAAAGACACCATTTATGAAAGAGACTTTTAAAAATAAATTAAAAAGGAGAGAGAAAAAGAGAGAGAACCCTGAAGCTTGATCAAGAATCTAAATCCAGGGAACTCCCCTACTTGCTGGATGGGATGCTGCCTGAATCATAAATCACTTAATAAAGCCAAATAGATTTTCAAATTAAAAAAAAAAAAGAAAAAAGAAAAGAATCTAAATCCAGCTAACAATTTTCAGGAACTACAACGGACAAAAACATGTTACAGGACATCACAGGGTTGCATTTAACAAAATCCAGTCTGTGAGGAACTCCACAGGAGTCATCAGATAAAAACCTAAAAACCTAATTAGGAAGTTATTTACATCCTATGAAGAGTGCAGAGCAGAATGTCAACTTTGCTACCTCAATATTTCACAAGATTTCAAAATCATGTACCACACTTTCATGATAAATCACCTATGATCCAGGCATAATAAAGATGATGAAAACTATGAAAATAAGAAACTGTCATAAAAAAAAAAAAAACCCCAACACTCATTTTTTTTGGTCCCCCATGGACCAAAAAGATCTTGTTCCTTCATCTCACTTAGTATTCACAAATATGCAGTAGAGCATCACAGAAACAATCTAGGCATTTATAGAGTTGTAAAATTATCATTCTTCCACTACAATGTCAAACTTTCAAAATGTGACCATCAATTTGGCCACTACAAAGTAATAATTGTTTTGGCAAGAAACATCAATGGATACTAAACAATGGATGAAAATTTGATGAGAAACGGGTTATTTACATAGTCACAAAGTATCTTCCAACAAGACACTTATTAACTACAAAGAGAAAAAATAGTAACTTCCTTGGAGAACCCTGGCAGACATCATTTTTACCAAGTGATCAAAATTAACATCAACTGTAGCAGGAAAAATAGATGGTGCCTCATGAGAAGCAGAGAAGGACACAGTAGCAACTACGTAGTTTTCATGCCTAAAATATAGAACCTGAATCTATTCATGAAGAAACATCTGAAAAAAAAAAAAAAAAAAAGCAGAATTCAAGGTCCTTCTACGCAATAAGTGCCTGTAATCTTCAAAAGAATGTAAAAGACACAAGACAAAAGATCTGTTATAGACTGAAGGACACTAAACAGATACAACCAAGTGTAACACATGACCTTGGCTCATCCTGGACACCTCCCCCAAATTCGTTTTTGTTTTGGGGGGTTTTTTTTGAAGATTTTATTAAGTAATCTCTACATCCAATGTAGGGCTTGAATTCACAACCCCGAGATCAAGAGTCAAATGCTCCATGGACTGAGCCAGCCAGGCGCCCCCCAAATTCTTTTAAATGTTTCTTTGGCTCCAAAAGACAGTTTAAAGACAAGTAGCAACATCTGAATAAGGTCTATAGATGAGACAATAGGTCTATGTTAATTTCCTGATTTGATAACCACATTGTGGTTATTGTCTTTGGTGTTAGGACATACGCGTGAAGTTACCTAGGAGTAAGGGAGCACTGTATTTGCAACTTACTCTCAAATGGCTCAGAAAAAAAGTTATGGAAAAACAGAAAGATAAAGAAAATACAGCAAATACTAACGTTTGGGGAAATCTAGAGGAAAATACGTGGGAATTCTTTGTACTATTTTGTACTTTCTCTAGGTCTGAAAATATCTCAAAGTAAAAAGTTAAAATTAACATATATATTCCATATATATGAACTAACAGTACATATATCATTCTGTTGAGAGCTATTTGATTAAGAATTCACACAAACTGGCAATTCTGTTACAGTGATATGTAACTCTTTCCAAAGGTAATTGATAAGCATATAAATTCAAAATCTGCACTAAGAACTGAAAGTTGATATGCTAATTACTTTTGTTGAAGCATTTCTGGTCCTCCTGTGACTATACCATTTAACCATTTCCTATAAAGATATTTTCAAATACTGCAAGAAAACATCCACTTATTAAGATACTGGTTAAAATTTTTGGCCGCTAAACATCTTAATAAAGTTGTAATAATACTATAAATTATCTGGATGACATTACTCATTTCTTTTTATATCCCAGAAATTCATTCTATGATGCATTTAGTTTTAGTCTTGTGCAAATCCTGGTTTAAAAATGCAGTCTATTCAGCCAAAATGTTAATTCAGTAACCTTCAAATATACCATTATCCCCATTTTGCCAAAGAGCACCCTAGGGTACCGGGGCACAGAGCCAGACCAGGGCTGGGCTGAACTTCAAGGGGAAGCCAACTGTGGCCAAACTCAAGTCCCAGACCCCTTGAGCCATACTGCCTCCCCAAGGGAAAGGAGTGGCCTGCCAGCAGGGTCTGCTCCTCTATCTCTCAGGCCTTGGGCTTTTCTGCACAGCAAGTTCTTCTCTCTTCCTTCAGTGCCAGGCAAAAGCAACTGCTTTTAAGGGGCTCTCCCAAGCTCCAGTTGCTCTCACCATCCCAGCCCCTTCCTGCGTTAACTCTCCTTACGAGAGCCTTGCCATCATGATCCATTTCCCACTCTAGAATTCAGCACCAGAGTTTCCCTCCCTGGCAAGCATTTTATTTGTTTTTTGTTGTTGTTGTTGGTTTTTTTTTTAAAGATTTTATTTATTTATTTGACAGAGAGAGACACAGCGAGAGAGGGAACACAAGCAGGGGGAGTGGGGGAGGGAGAAGCAGGCTTCCCACCGAGCAGGGAGCCCGATGTGGGACTTGATCCCAGCATCCTGGGATCATGACCTGAGCCGAAGGCAGACGCTTAATGACTGAGCCACCCAGGCGCTCCCTGACAAGCATTTTATAACAGAAAAGCTTATGTTGTAGGGCGCCTGGGTGGCTCAGTTGGTTAAGCGACTGCCTTCGGCTCAGGTCATGGTCCCGGAGTCCTGGGATCGAGTCCCACATCGGGCTCCCGGCTCAGCGGGGAGCCTGCTTCTCCCTCTGACCCTCTCCCCTCTCATGCTGTTTCTCTCTCTCTCTCTCTCTCAAATAAATAAATAAATAAAATCTTTAAAAAAATAAAAAAAAAAAGAAAAGAAAAGCTTATGTTGTAAAGTGTTTTCATGTCACGTATCTTTAACATGCCTACTCTAATATTCTACCTCTCCTCTCTGCGGTCCTCCTAGAAAATAGTTCAATAGATAATATAATTGATAAGCAAAGACTATATCCAATTTACATAGAAAATAATATTCAGGGCACCTGGGTGGCTCAGTCATTAAGCGTCTGCCTTCAGCTCAGGTCATGATCCCGGGGTCCTGGGATTGAGTCCCACATCAGGCTCCCTGCTCAACAGGGAGTCTGCTTCTCCCTCTGCCCCTCTACCCACTTGTGTTCTCTCTCTCTCAAATAAATAAAATCTTAAAAAAAAAAAAAAGAAGAAGAAGAAGAAAATAATGTTCAGGGGTACCTGGCTGGCTCAGTTGGTGGATCATGCGGCTTCTGATCTAGGGGTTCTGGGTTCAAGCCCCAGGTTGGATGTAGAGATTGCCTGAAAATAAATCTTAAAAAAAAAGAAAAGAATATTCATGCATGCACAAGCAAGTGGGACTTGGTCAAGAGTAGGAAGCAGGCAACAGACCAAGTCAACAGATGCATGTGACAGTATTTTCTATCGTGGTATCTAAAGAAAGAAGTTTACCACCTCAAGATGTGAGAAGAAAAACACAAGGGAAATCGGAGGGAATCGATTAAACGGAGCTGCAGAGCACAGAAAAGCAAAGAAAGATCGAGAGCAATGAACACTATCTCTGAAACTGTAAAGAGACCAGCCATTAAAGCTCTGACTACCCCAGGCAGGGTAGGGATTAAAAGTGCCTGGAAATGCCACCAAAATGAATACAGACATGTTACTCCGCACTCCTCTTTAACTTGTACACACCATTTCTTTGTGCCTCGTTCCAAATGGCATTTTCACACGCATTTGGTGGTCAACTCTCAGTAGAGGGGCACTCTAGCACTGTGGCTGGAACGATGCCTCAAACACTTTCCAGAGGAGGGACTCTGGGCCCCTCACTTAGCTCTGTCTCAGCTTCCTCCAGGATAAAACAGATCATGAGAGCAGACGTGCAAGCATCCAATTCAGTAACAGTTGTAAACAGTGTGATATAGTGCCCTGGAACACTGCAGGTGCCTACAGGGCTGTTTTTTAAAATGTTGATGTTTAAATATTCATGCTGTCAACATCTGACAAATGTCTGTGAGTCACTTATCATGAGTCAGGTGTTAGGGTTTAATAAAGAAGTATTTTGAGGTGTACTTTCTCTGTAGCACTGCGGGGCTCATTGTAGATCCCCCTGAGTAGTGGGGAGAGTAAAGCCCAATGATGCAACTGAGCCCTAGTCCGGTTTCCATCCTTCATAACTGTTTGATCCTGGCCAAGCTCACGGTCTCCCTGAGCTTGTGCTCCTCGGTGGGCTGGATGCTTCCTTCCAGCTCGGAGGGCTCCAGGGTACCTAGGCAGGGTCCTTGCAAAAGAATCTCAGGGAGGAACACCCAACCCCTAACAGGTATGTATTATAAATCCATCTGACCTTAGCAACCTCGATTTATCCTTTTTGGAATTTATGGGGAAGAATGTAGTCCCAAACATCAGAAATCACTACTGCCAACAAATCTGGACTTGTAAACTGATCAGCATTTCATACCACTTATTCCTATTTCTTTTGTTTTTTCTTCCTCATTGTTAGATCTTTTTTTTTTTTTTTTTTTAAGTAAGCTCTAGGGGCGCCTGGGTGGCTCAGTCAGTTAAGCATCTGCCTTCAGCTAAGGTCATGATCCCAGGGTCCTGAGATAGAGCCTCACATCTGGCTCTCTGCTCAGCGGGGAGCCTGCTTCTCCCTCTCCCTAATGTTCCCCCTGCTTGTGCTCTCTTTCTCTCTCTCTCTGTCAAATAAATAAATAAATAAAATCTTTAAAAAAAAAAAAAAGCATCTGCCTTCAGCTCAGGTCATGAGGCTCAGGTCATGATCCCGGGGTCCTGGGATTGAGCCTCGCATCGGGTTCCTGCTCAGTGGGGATCCTGCTTGTGCTCTCTTGTGCGCGCTCTCTCTCAAATAAGTAAATAAATAAATATCTTTAAAAAAAAAAGTAAGCTCTATGCCCAACATGGGACTTGAACTCATGACCCTGAGATCAAGAGTCACACGCTCCACTGACTGAGCCAGCCAGATGTCCCTAGATCCAGCTCTCTTTTTAATCATAGTTACTATCTCTCATATTTATGTCTTTTTGTTTTCCACACTTTAACAGATGTTCCTACAAATAATGGCCCCATTCACTGTATGAGGTATAAGACATTTATCTCACTAAGATTTAGTGTCTTGCAATACCCAGATTTCCAGAAGGGCTTAGCTAGAACCCCAAGTGCCTCCCCACATTCTATCAACCATACTCAGAAGCCCCTCCTGTTAATCTTTCCACCATGCTATTGTTTTCAGAAAAAGACCACCTGAAGGATCATTTGGGAAGTGAAAGAAAAAGCACTGAGTGACCTGAATCCTAATTTCAAACAATCTTCCACCCACACCCACACATGTACATACACACACACCCACACACACAGAGAAAGGGGAGTAGGAAGGAGACTAATACCTTCTCTACAATTCTCAAAATAATTCTGTGTAAATGTTTAGTATTTATTTCTTTATTAGTCAACTTACTGAAATAGTTATAAATGACTGGCACTGATTTTAACTTAGAGAGCTTTAAAAGAGCAACCAATTTATACGTTATTTTATAAAATAAACAATACAGGAATAATATTTGCACGCTTGGTTCACCAGAGCTTGGTTTATTAACCAAACTATGTTGTAATACAAATTGCAGGGGTAGCAAGCAAGTTCACGCCTCCCGCCTTCTTCTACACCAAAGACACACTTGTGTATTCTTCCAGCCCTCACCGAGTTCAACAAGGAAAAACTGTCCCCACGTTCAAAAAATTCTAATGTTAGTAGATAGCCACTTTTCCTCCAAAGAGGGTATACGTGCGGTGGTGAACTTCTGGGGGCCGCCCACTAAAGGTTATGTAAGTCCTCCGAAGTACAGTCCTCCAGAACAACTTAAGCCCCAGCCACTCACTTCGACAACTGTTTATTTGGGAAGGTGCGTTCCCAGGTCCAATTTGTAAAGTCAGAACAAATCTACCCACCCTCCACCCCAACCGGTAACTCCCATCAGGATTTTGGAACTGAAAAACAAAGGTCAGCCGTCCTCCCAATGGGAGGAGTTAGTTACATCAGGCGTGTGAGTAGTCAGTCACAAGGGTAGGACAGGAAGACCTAGACTTTAAACTCACAACCAAGTTCAAATCTTTGCGCCGTCAATTACCAGTGGTGTGACCTTGAACAAGACACTTGACCCCTACCAGTCTGCTTGCACAGCAGCAAAATGGGAATAGCAACTACCTACTTCCTAGCAGGTTAGAAGCTATGAGAAATATTAAGGATTTATTTTTTCATTTTTTAAAGATTTTAATTTATTTGACAGAGAGACACAGCGAGAAAGGGAACACAAGCAGGGGGAGTGGGAGAGGGAGAAGCAGGCTTCCTGCGGAGCAGAGAGCCCGATGCGGGGCTCGATCCCTGGACCCCGAGAGCACAACCTAAGCCGAAGGCAGATGCTTAATGACTGAGCCACCCAGGCGCCCCATATTAAGGTTTTAGAAGCTATTGCCAAGTGCTTTCCAAATGGGGCGGAGCTGTTAACACCCTTCAGGAACAGCAAATGAGAGCCCCCACTTTACATTAGCCACCATTTAAAAGTCATATTAAGACAAAATCTGGTAATTTGGTGGGGGGGGGGGGGGATTCTTCTCCTTATTAGCATTTTTTGACTACCTAGGAGGTTGAACATTAGTTTCACATATGTGGTTGTTATTTGTAGTCTCTTCTTTTGGGAATTTTTTGTTTATATTTACTTTATGGTTACTTTCTACAATTATGGTGAACACCTGGGGCCTTGTTCCTCTTGAATGAAACAGATTTCTTTCTTTTTTTAAGGATGTATTTGTTTATTTGAGAGAGAGAGAGAGAGAGCATGAGCATGGAAGGATGGGCAGAGGAAGAGAATCTGGAAGCGGACTCACCGCTGAGATTTCTAAAATGCTATAGCACAGTTCGAGAGTATGAGTGTGAGTTCATTTCCTATCCTGAGGACTCCAGGTAACTAAAGTTATCACCCCTTATCACATCCACAAAAGCGCCTGAAAAGAGCCATGTTTAGGAAAACACTTTCATGGTTTTACTTTCAAACTCTGAAATGTGTTTCTAAACTAATTGTTCATCTTCCCATGAAAATCTGTAGGCTATATACATAATGAAAAGATTTAAGATTCTGAAATTTATTTTAGAGCCTTAAAGTTATCTGTCAATGGAGGTAACTCTGAGCATCTCTAACACCTTATGAGTCGAAGAAAGAAACTCTACAGCGCCCCAGCGTTGTTCACTCAGAACATACGGTACAGAAGAAAAGGCGAGTCACCTTTATTTCCCTTGTGTTCCCTTCATTCCTGAATGCCAAGGTTTTGGAAACTGCAGTTTATTTCATCGTCCCTGAAATCCAATCCAGTTTGAGAGGAGATAATAAAGCATGGGACATATCAAAACCTCCTCCAAAAATACATTATCAGGCTAGCCCATTTGGGTTGTTTTCTACATGCTTTTAAGCATTCAGTCCTTTCCCATCCCAATTATTTATCACA